GGGATGGAACAGAGCGATATCACGGGTTAGTGGGAGGGAACAGAGCGATATCACGGGTTAGTGGGAGGGAACAGAGCGATATCACGGGTTAGTGGGAGGGAACAGAGCGATATCACGGGTGGTGGGAGGGAACAGAGCGATATCACGGGTTAGTGGGAGGGAACAGAGCGATATCACGGGTGGTGGGAGGTAATATAGCGATATCACGGGTGGTGGGAGGGAAGAGAGCGATATCACGGGTGGTGGGAGGGAACAGAGTGATATCACGGGTGGTGGGAGGGAACAGAGCGATATCACGGGTGGTGGGTGGAAGGGAACAGACAGCAACGCAACAGGTGACGTTATAGGTAAGTGGAGTGTACGTTATACAAGCACAATGTTAGGATCAAGTATTTGCAATGATATCAGGAGTGAATAAAAACAATCATTTGTTTTGCCTGCTTGTTCGCTTGTTTTTTGTTTGCTTGTTTGTAACCAAAACAACCAAGTAACCAAAGTAACCAAGTAACCAAGTAACCAAAACAATTGGTTTTTATCTGATATATCTTATGCTTGCATGTGATCGTGATATTGTGATTGTGATCGCAGCACAACCTGATCGTAGAGACTGCATGTGCAGTGTGGCTCCACGGGGGGCGAAAGCTGAGCGGAGCGTGACACTCTCGTTGTATTGAAGGTCGTGTGATTTACGCGCGCGCGCGGGCCGCCTGGCGCTCGTCACGGCGCAACAGACGAGCTTTTGTGTGGAGCCATGATGGCGGAGTTCCGGCATGCGCCCCCTGCTTCTAGCGCGTACCCACAGCTGTCGGAGTTTACGGTTATACTCCCCTATCTAACGGGACATGATCTGCGGGGTTGGTTATACCTGCTGTGGATATAGGGGGTGGGGGGATGCGTCATGTTTCATTCGCTCGGTTCGTGAGCTGTTTTGGGTATCGCTATAAAAATAATACTAGTTATATATATCGAACTATATATCGTGAAATATATAGTGTCTCTATATTATGTTTCTATGGGTATCGCGCGCGCAAGAGTCTATAAATGCTATCGAAAAACAACAACAGCTAGCAACCCCCTACCCCCTCCCACGACACATACTCGGTGTCACATGCAACTGGTCAACGATGTCATCGGTGTTGATGTTGTTGCTACTGCTGGTGCTGCTGCTGCTATTATTATTATTGTTGTTGTTGTTGCTGCTGTTGTCGCTATTGTTGCTGTTGGTGGTGTTGTTGCTGCTGCTGTTGCTGCTGCTATTATTATTATTATTATTGTTGTTGTTGTTGTTGCTGCTGTTGTCGCTATTGTTGCTGTTGGTGGTGTTGTTGCTGCTGCTGGTGCTGCTGCTATTATTGTTGCTGTTGTTGTTGTTGCTGCTGCTGTCGCTTTGTTGGTGTTGTTGTTGCTGCTGCTGTCGCTATTGTTGTTGTTGTTATTGTTGTCGTCGTCATCGTTGTTGTTGTTGTTGTTGCTGCTGCTGCATCTGTCGCTATTGTTGTTGTTGGTGGTGTTGTTGTTGCTGCTGCTGTTGTTGTTGTTGTTGTTGTTGTTGTTGTTGTTGTTGTTGCTGCTGCTGCTGCTGCTGCTTATCGGAAGCCATAGTTTAATCCATAAACACTGGAAATAGTTGTCGCCACCGTCTCTAATGTTTTCGTAATATTGCTGTTGTCGCCACCGTCGTTGTTATTATTGTTGTTGTTATTGATGTTCATATTATTGTTATTTACATATTGTTGTTGATGTCACTGTTGTTAATATGGATCCGATCAAGAGCTAATAATACTAATTAATAAGTTTATATAATTACCTAATATTATTAGCTCTTTACCCGGTAGTTTGTGACGCACGCATGCATCTCCCGCGCGTAGTGTTTCGGGGGCGCGCGCCCACCCGTCATGCGTGGATCGCCCATCGCCATATCCGGATGGTGTCCTGCTGTGCCACGCCCCCACCCAACGTTAGCGAGAGAGACGTCATAACGATTAGCAACAACTCAAACGTGCAAGGCAGCGATGTACAACCGCCGTCCGTGAAATTACACGCCGGTAAAACGGCACGTCATTAATTGCACGTGCGACGTTTAACTGAAATGGCAGCTGCGTGAATTAGCGAGCACGGAAATACGGTTGTTTTCCCCGCGCACTGGGGCAGCGAGGTGGTAATTTGTGTATGACGATTATAGCGATAAAAACTTCCATAGGAATCAATAAATACGGAAGTCGCCTCTTCTCTGCTATGTTATAGCAGTCGGATCAACGCTTAAAGTGATTACGTCACGAATTTTCTATGGTGTATATTTATTAAATTTTTGTTGTAATTTTACATTTTATATTAAAAGTAGGTACTAACGTACGGGACTAATGTATACTCAAATTCTTACCTGATAAGATTGTTTCTCAACTAGTAAAAAATCAAAAAAAAAATCGGCGATTTGATATAATGGTAACGACATTAAATGCTTGCTATGTGTATGTACGAGTCACGAGTGATTGTTCACGTCGAACAGAATAGTAAAATAGGAAGTATAATGCAGCAATTTAACCATAAAAAGTTATCAGAATCAATTACATTTTGCGAAAAAGTAGACTTTTTTTAAACTTTTATTATTTACGGTGACGAAATCACTAGTCCATTCATATCAAGAGTCCATGAGTGCTGATATTTATATGGAACCTCGTCGCTGGTATTGCCCCCCTTACCTCTGTGATACCGGAAGCGGTCAGCCGGGAGATCATTTTCTCTGAGTCGGTTAGGTACGTGGGGAGGGGAGCTATAGGGTAATCGCATGCCCCCGGTTCCCTCGTCAACGACAACTATGGTTCTATCCACCCTCCCCTCTCCTCCTTCAGAAGTTAATCTGTACTACAACATAGCTCAAATATAGTCGGAATAGTCATTAATCGTCACGGAAATCGCTCGTGTTATTCTAATCTTCGCAGTCCCACGTGCGATCTTTTGCGCACAGCGGCGAGCGTAGAGAAAGTGAAACAAGGGCGTTCATAGTGCTTCTCCCTCCTCGCTGCACCGGTCGCATGAACGCCCCCCGCCCCTGGTAATATAGATAGTACCAGGGTACGTTCCGGTATACCGGACCGTACCCAGGGTACGTTCCGGCAGTACCCCGGGGGACATAGACCCTCTCAGCCCTAGTACTGCCACTAGTACTACTGCAGAGTATAGTACTAGTACTAGTACTAGTAGGGGTAGCTCTAGTACTATAGCCGCTTACATTAACTGCCGCTGGCGGCAGTTAATGTAAGCGGCTATAGTACTAGAGCTATAGTAGGGGTAGTAGTTAGCTCTAGTACTATAGCCCGCGTTCATTAACTGCCGCAGTTAATGAACGCGAGTTATAGTATTAGTACTAGAGGGGAGTAGAGCTAGGGTAGTAGTGTGGTAACTCTGCAACTTGCAAATGCAAGAGCAACAACTTATTGAACAAGAAGACGTACCAAACCAAGAGCCGTTTGTTGTCTTGTCTCTGTTTGAGGTCCAATGACTTGCTCTATTGTAATAGGGCTATGTTCATCCGAGTCTGTTGCCATTTTATACGACACAAGAACCCGGTTTAATGCCGCTTATAATGTATTATAATATTAGTTATTACAAATTTACATGTCCCTGGAGGTGACTGTTTCCCCATCAGCCGGTGTTTTGCGTCTCTGAGACAATGTGTGAAACCCAATGTGTTTTCTCTACAATAAAGGTAATGTAAAAACTACGAATTAATTGCATTATAGTACATTTTATATTTACGAGTAAATATTCCAATATATATTAAATTATTTAACATTAAATGATATGCTTTTAAGAACGAGCCGCATCGTTTGGGAGGCGTAGCTTTCCACCATGGCAGATCTTACGCGTTCAGAAGATCAACTTGGTGAAAAATGGGATCGTTGTCTTTCTGATACGGCCCTCAAAATAGGTATGCATCCTAGAGTATTATTATATTTATTGTGGATGATTTTGTCTGTTATATATGCACCGCTTTGTCTGTACATACACTGATACAGATATATATTAATGTAATTTTTAATTAGTAAAGTCCTTGGGCCCGTTGTCAGAAACAAAATTAGTCTTAAATTGACTATACGTCACAAATTTTCAATGGTAAAATTTGTAAAATTTTTGTTGCCATTTTTTTACATTGAAAGTAAGAACTAACGGGACTAAACGTATCTTCAAATTCTTACTTGATAAGATTGTTTCTCAACTAGACGGACATGCGGCCCCGTTTTTGCGCGTAGCGCACAGCGCGCGGCGACGCCGCGCCACGACAACGAATACGCCGCCCCCTTTTTGTCCACTTAGACAGATATCTGAGACAGGGGTCTGAAAACGGGGCCGAATCCAACCGACATTTCGCGATCGACGGATCTAGAGGCCATCTCCAAACGGCACATATTAATTTTTGGCGGTGGCGCGCCTTACGGGTAACGCGTAGTGGGTCCTACAAGAAACCCCAAGAAATGCTGTCACTCAGCGACCACGCGCTCGCTCATTCGCCGCTACGCGATGACGTGGGCTACTGCCGAATATAGCGTCACGTCTATCAGAGAGGTTTTAACGAAGACGCGTACGGCGCTCCACGTGGGCTGGCGCGGTCTAGATGCTATCTCCAAAACTCCCGCCGCCGCGGCACCCTGGCTGCGTACGTGGCATGTTTTAATGAACCTCGTGACCCCGCGCTGCCCGTGGCGACGGCACGTCGTGCGAGGACGTGCTGGCGTGGCCGTGCCAGTATTTACACGTAGCTAATCCTACGTATACTGGCCCCTGCTGCAGCCCCTGCTGCCCCCCCCCCAAGGCCGCCGTAGTCAAGCCGGTGTACGTCTGACCAAAACTGCGCGATGTTACGCTTCCCGCTATACGGATTCGCGCGCCCGCCCTCCTTCGGCGCGCGAATTCGTATAGCGGGCAGCGCGAGATGCTACATGTGTACAACACCCCGCGGTCGCGTGCGCCCAGTTCCGCGGAAGTGCGCAGCTTAACCGCTCTCGGCGGTCGGGTAACAACGCATCTTTTGCGCAACGCCATCTTGTACACGATCTCTCTGGTTAAAAATCCAAAAAACCTGGACGATTTCATATTACTTTAGGACGTGGATATTCGTCCGAGCATCGGACACCTGTTCACACCCTAACCCTAACACTAACTATAAACCGACTCGGTTCTCTTATTATACGCTCGGTTTCGTATATACGCGAGTGATAGTACCAAACACTATCTATGGTGTATAACCACATACGCAACGCATGTATGTAGGGGCGTCACAGCCGTAGGGCTGCCGTAGCAAAACGCTACGGGCCCCCAGCCTAAAGGGCAAAAAATCATAAATCTAAAGGGTAAATAGCATTTTAGAGCGTCTAGATTTAAAAATTGTCTGGGGGGAAACCCCCCAGCCCCCCCTTCCAACTCCCTACCTCCGGCATTCGTGCCGTGCGGCATGCAACATGAACAGCGCATGCGCAACAACTGCTTGGACGAATAGCGCATACGAACAGGTGTCCGATGCTCGGACGAATATCCACGTCGATTACTTTATTAGTTATTAAACGTGGTGGAGGGGTGAGGACTATGTAGATGCAAGAAATGCTGCTTTGAAATACTATTGTTGTATGTACAGATAGTGTGCATCAGAATTTGTACTATTGTGAGAAAAATTGCTACATTCATAGAAACTAGATGTCATGTTATTTTACTCTTACCATTACAGCTGGTGGCCTCGGTCTAGGAATCGTGTTCTCAGTTTTTCTCTTCAAACGTAAGTATGTCACTGTAAATACGTATTCAGACATTTTTTTTGGATTGGGAGAGTAATTATTGTGTACAGTAATGCCTACAACCTGTGCTGCCTAAAACAATAACCTGTGCACTTCTGTACCCTTGGCATTGTCGGTTGTTGCAGGATAGCCATAATTATCATCTAGAAATAAAAATTTGCGCCTAGCTCCTGTCTCATGCTATCAAATATATTGCAGAATCAGGTAGATCAAAATCGCCACTTTTCTGACTAGAGAAAACCAAAAGCAGCATCAAGAACCACCTAACACTTCTGCTGCTATAATCTAATGTAGTGTCATGCACTAATGTTAACCTTCCTCTCACTTGAGATGTATTAATTGGTTTTTCTCTAGACATTCATTTGTGTACATCTTTTAACCAACTTCCTAAAGGTCTAATGTCTAGCAAACTGCATAATATGTACATATCTAATAAAATTATCATTATTTATGCTAGGACGGCCGTGGCCGATAGCATTTGGAATAGGTACAGGCTTTGGTATGGGTTATTCAAACTGCCAACATGACTTTAATCAACCCTATCTGCTGCATGGTCATCGCATCCGGGTAAGTTAACTCGCAGTCGAGTAAGTGGGTCGTTCTAATGCAAACCACAGATTTGCAACCAGTAAGTTGTTTCATGGAGCATTTGAATTGGCATTGTAGGCTACATAGTTGCAATTAGGGCTGTCATCAATACCCACCTCATCGATGAATCGCGATGGATTTGCGTCCGATATCGATATCGAAATATAACGAAAAATGGCGATTCGATACAGTATATAAAAATAAAGAGTTGGTACATCTTTACGCCAGCGAGCTCGCGTTCATATTACATACGGCCAGGCCTGCACAATACGCTGAAACGTACATGTTCTCGCATTGTCTGGCTTGCTTGATACAATGTATACTATCACGTTCGCTGACCTGAGCTCACCCTGGTTATCATCCGCCACGCTTTATACGCTTATACTATGCCTGCTGTATAATGCTAGTGTGGCGTAGTAATGGATACATCATGCTAGCAGCGAGACCGATGAGAATCAGGGTGCCTGCGCCCGTTCAGATCGCGCGCACTCGCTCTACGCGCGCACTCGCTCAGATGCGCTGCCGTATAAAGTTGTTAACTCAACAACTACTATCCCGATTTTGTATAACTATCGAAGCGGGATACCAAGCATTGGAAATCTGGCATCCAACACAAAAATCGACTATCCCGCGGATATCGGGGTACCGCTAATTTCGACCCCTGCAAAATATCGTTTCCATCACTACATACGATCTTTTTTATTATATACATACTCCATACACTAGAAATCTTTTTGAGATTTCATATGCCTGCCTGGTAAAAGGTTAAATTCGTTTTTTCATTCAGGTCCATGAAAGGAAAGAGAAGTCATGTGTCGGAATATTTTGCTAAAGTTTCTTTTGCTACATCATGTTATATTACATATTAAATCGAATTGGATCGAATCGGATCGAAATATCGAAAACAAAAATATCAATAATCGAATCGAAATAATTTCATACCAATGACAGCCCTAGTTGCAATCCCCATTTGCTGAAACTGTCGATTTTTCTTTATGCAAAAAGTAGTTTTTGTAGATTTCAGGCAATAGATGGCGCTGTGATGCACAAATTATTGTCTTTCCTATTGTAGTGAAAAATTCCTCATTTCTCATCACGTGCAGGTAAAGTCAACGCCGCCTGTGGATGAAGAAACTACCACGCAATGAGGCCCGGCGATCCAGTCATGTGCAAAATTAGTGATAAGAAATTACAATAGTCTATCACAGACTCTTTTATTGGAATGACAGTGCATCATTGCTGACTAACTAACTATACCTGTGTGTTGATGCATCACCTTTACCTAAGGAAAATGCATTTTGCTTGTAGTTGGTAGCAACGTCTGGATGTTATTGTTTTATTAAAACTGAGTATGCAAGAATACTCTGGCTGCAAACATTTGTGCGTGAATCTTGTAGCGTTCTTAAAGATGATACAACGTCACACACATACATGTTTATGTCTCAATCGTTTTAGCCATGTAAATGTAGAAAACATATAAAACCTAGATACATGTACCATTCTTGTCAGGGGTGGGATGCGATACTCTGTCAGGGTGCATTATAAGAAATTTCTGGATCTTGTGCAAATGTCCCTTGTGATTATTTTTGCCTAGCCGCTCATCAAGTTGCCCTAACACAGAGAGGTTAAGATGTTGTCTAAATGGTTCACGACCTAAGCCATTAATATTAATAGGCCTCATGTCTAATAATTTTGTGACATTTGTATGATAGTTATTATTACAATTATACTGTAATAAATTAAAACAGAAGGACATGTTTTGTATTTCACTCGTACGTCATCTGTGTTTTGCCTTGTTTTGTTTAGGTTAATTAGTAACAAAAATTGACTGTTAAGCACATGTAACTGCCCTGTAAGTGACCCTAAATATTAACTGGCACGGATGCGTGAATGTTGTACTTTTTAGGAAGTAATTTTGAAACCGAAAGTTGGAACCCATGTGGTTAGGCATATCCTGCAAGGTCTCGCAATTTGCTACGGGTACAGCCATTTCGTTTTTAGCAACGGCTTGCTTTGTGTGTCACTTCTTGGTCCTGCGAGCGGTGTCAGTGTTTAACCATATGCACTGTAAGCTTCGCTAATTGAGTAGAAACTGTTATTAACAGAGCCACTCTGTTCAGGCAAATACGCAGTGTTGGCTTGGAGCTTCACAAGTATAGTTATTAAGCCAATAAGTGGTCATAGTAAGGGGGGTCTCGCTTCGTGAGCAAGGCGTGGCATTTCCTAGAAAATTACTTTGTTGTTGGTACTTTCGAAAATTTAAGAGAGTGTCCCGAGAACTACTTTATTCTATTTTTACCCTCTTATGTATGGTTGTTATTTGCTAATATAATTGGGCGATCTTATGTAGTGTATATGAGTATATAATCGTAATATACAATCTATAATAAGATTTTGATCATTGTCACAATAACAGTTACATGAACATCGCAGATCACACATGAATGGCGAAATGGAGATAGCTGTAACGAGACAAAGCGTGATATCACGGGTGGTGGGAGC